GTATAATTGCTATTTATTTTCATATATTTGTGTTGTTCTATCAGTTGTGATCTTGTCTATCTTTTGTCCAGATTTACAGATTTCATTTCAAATTTAAAAAAAGGTTAGAAAAGAGACACTTGCCAATCTGTTATAATTGTGACACATTGTCACTAGGTGATCACACAAAGGGTGTAACTAGTGGAGAAGGAACTGCTGTATCTTAAGAGGGAACCAGATTTTAACCTGATTTTAGGTGTGGTATGTGTTGATCAATCATAAGTTTCCTGAGAATTGTTCTGTGGTCTGTTGTTTGTTTGCCTTTTGTCTTCTACCCACCATAGTGTTGTCTGGACTGCTGTTGTTTGTTTGCCATTTGCCACCATAGTGTTGTCTGTGGACTATTGTTGCGTGTTTGCCTTTTGCCTTCTTGCCACCATAGTGTTGTCTGTGGACAGTTGTAGTTTGTTTGCATTTTGCCTTCTTGCCACCATAGTGCTAATCATGGACTGTTGCCGTTTGCCTTTGGCCTTCTTGTGACCATAGTGTTGTCTGTGGACAGTTGTAGTTTGTTTGCATTTTACCTTCTTGCCACCATAGTGTTGATCATGGACTGTTGCCGTTTGCCTTTAGCCTTCTTGCCACCATAGTGTTGTCTGTAGACAGTTGTAGTTTGTTTGCATTTTGCCTTCTTGCCATAATAGTGCTGATCATGGACTGTTGTCGTTTGCCTTTTGCCTTCTTGCCACCATAGTGTTGTCTGTGGACAGTTGTAGTTTGTTTGCATTTTGCCTTCTTGCCACCATAGTGCTGATCAAGGACTGTTGCCGTTTGCATTTGGCCTTCTTATGACCACAGTGTTGTCTGTGGACAGTTGTAGTTTGTTTGCATTTTGACTTCTTACCACCATAGTGTTGATCATGTACTGTTGCTGTTTGCCTTTTGCCTTCTTGCGGCCATATTATTTTCTGTCTTAATTTCATGGTATTGGATATCCCTCTAGATATTTTTTAGAAGAATAACTACTGGTACAGTTTCAAAAATTTCTTTTAAATTTGCTGTTTGTGTAATGAAACATATACAAAGAACTTGCAAAAATCATTTGAATATTAATACTAGAGGCTCTAAAGAGCCTGTGTTGCTCATCTTGGTCTATGTGCATATTCAACAAAAGACCCTCTCCAACATTGTAGACGAGAGTAGAATTCATGACAAAAATCTGTTTTGTTGATCATGTATTGCTGATCATTTAGTCTGTTTAGTTTCTCTCTATCTTAATTAGTTTTTGCTCAAAACACAAAAGAGGGTACAAAATTCCTCATTTAAGGGCAATCACTCCTATAAAGAGTGACAATCTACTAACTATATCGGCAAAATTTGACCTGTTAGTAGATCTTGCCTTGCTGATCATTTTTGTGATTTAAAGTGTCTATTTATCTAATATAATTTTTATCATATAAGGCAAAATGCAAAAAACTGATAAAAATCATCATTAAAGGGCAATAACTCCAATAAGGAGTCATCAGACGATTTCCTCTATATCGTCTAAATTGTAGATCTTGTCTTGCTGATCATTTTTGCTTATTTAAGTTTCTATTTATCTATTATAATTTTTAAGATATAAGGCAAAAACACAAAAAAAAACATAAAAATCGTCATCAAAGGGCAATATCCCTTATTAGGAGTCAACTGACGATTTCGATTATGTTTTACTTATTTGTAGAACTTGTTTTGCTGATCATTTTTGCAATTTAAAGTTTCTCCCCATCTATTATAGTTTTCAAGATAATAGGCTAAAATGAAAAAAAATGGTAAAATTTGTCATTTAAGGGCAATAACTTTTTAAGAAGTCGTCTGTCTGACAGTTTTGGCATATATGAACAATTGGTAGAGCGCAACATTCTGAACATTTTTGCCCTGTCAGATTGTCTCTATTGATAACGATTTTCAAAATAATAGACAAAACTTGCATTTTACCCCTATGTTCTATTTTTAGCAATGTTGGCCATCTTGGTTGGCAGGCGGGGTCATCGGACACATTTTTAAAACTAAATACCAAAATGATGATTGTGGACAAGTTTGGTTAAATTTGGCAAAGTAGTTTCAGAGGAGAAGATTTTTGTAAAAGTTAACGACAACAACGGACAACAGACGCCAAGTGATAAGAAAAGCTCACTTGGCCCTTTGGGCCAGGTGAGCTAAAGAAAGCAAATAAAGATCTAAATCAATAGATATTTTTTATTATATGTAATTTAAAGTACTCCCTGGTCATTGCCATGGAAACATCATAATACAAATTCTGTATGACTTGTTGTTGGTGTATTAAAGAGTTTAAACAAGCAGTAAAACATTTACAATTTTATCAAGAAAATTTCAGAAGTATAATTATAATCAAGCAAATGACAACACTAATTTACATGGAATCCTTTGTTTATTATCTATAAGAAAGAGTAAGATCCAAATAAAATCAAATGTGTGGTTTATACATTTCTGAAAAAAAAAGGTTTGTTAGAAAGGGATTTTTTCAAATTACATAAAATATACAAATTTCATCTTAAGACTTTAAAAGTGCTTTAAAATACTCAAAAAATGCCAAAAAGTTAAGGGTATGTATAGAACCTGAACCATTTATATCATTTTATTTGGCCTAATCATCGTTTATATCTTAAGACGGTTTTTGATTTCATTGGAAGACTTAATCAATACATTTAACAATGCCAAATACAACATAAATATATCTCAAAAAGTTTAACAATATATGTACATTGGAGTGTAAATTATTAACAACATCTGCCTTAACAATATATATTAAAAACCTTCAACAATGAAGAAACAAAGGGAGATAATTGCTCTGTGTTATCTCCCTTACCTTACCAATCTATGACTACAGTTTAAAAGTATTCCCATTCTGAATTCTATTACTTTATACTTTAATTCGTTGTCAGTTCAATAATTATACATGTCTGCTCTATTTAAATTGTAAATTTATGATAGTTTTGTAATGTCACCAACTATTCCCTTGCTGATTTTACTGGTCAATTGGTATTTTCAAAATCAAATCTGATTCAAGAGATCCAAAACTTAGCAGTCTACAGAAGACAGATCACTCTGCGGCCAAAACAAATGCATACAAGAGGACAATAACTTAGACTTATCTCCCTTGTGAAAAAACACATTAAAATAAAACATATAACCTGACAACTTTCAATTTTTTCATAAGCAAGGTATTTTCAGAATTAGAATATTAAGTTGTTAGGGGAAGGAGAAGAGTATTTGTGTCGAAATACTTGCTTCCAGTGAAAGATATGTCATGAATTTAAAAAAAAACAACACTGCAAACATCTTTTCCTTTCATTTAAATAATATCTAATGTCTTATGTGGGAGAAATATCAGCAAGAGACATTTTAAAAAATATCGACTAGAATAATAATAATATTTTAATTTCACAAAACATCTAATATAAAGCTATAATATAAATACTCCACTATAATCACCAACTTCTTATTCTTTAAAAAGAAAGTAGTGGAATTTCATGTTCATTTTTTTACTAATTATTGAACAAATATTTTGCCAGGTTGAAAGAAATTTTGTTAAGATATGACTAAAAGTAAATTGTGGCAGTGATGTATATATTTTTTGTATATATGTACTAAGCATAATATTCTTCTTCTGCTCTTTTGTAATTTATAAGTGCTATATAGCTAATCTAGTTTCCTTTAATTGTGATGCTATTACAATTATATTTTTTATAATGGTATTGAAAGTGCTAATGTAATTATCTTACATATATAAAATACTTTCCATTCTGATAAATATTTCATTCCTCTGGCAAGTTGTGAAATATTGTCAAGCTTAGAAATATTTACTTGCTTCACATTATGTTTTTGTGGTGAGGGCATATCTATATGTAATTTCTAATCATTTCCAAATAATTTTCTAATAAAAAAATAAGGTGATAATCAATATTTCTAACTTTCTTTGTTTTTCAGTCTATGTACATGAACCTTTCTAGTAGTCAAGCAATAAGACATATTTTTTGTTTTTAATTTAAAAAAACTTTAAATTTATTGCAAAAAACAGACTTGCAAGAGAATATATTAGTAAGAAGTTAAGCAAAAATTAAATGAACTAAGAAAAACATTCAAAGATATTGAATTTGAATGACATAGGAACTTGTAAGTATAAAATTAAAGGGACTACTATGTCATACAGTATTAAAAAGCATAAAATAACAAATACTCAAAAATGGAGACTTATTTCATATTTCTGACAAGAAAAAAATGTTTAAATTATATTACAGCATACATAAGATTTTTCTAGCTAGACTTCTAGGATATAATTTTGAAGAAATAAAATATGAAAAATTGCTAAATCAATACGTAAATGAAAAATATAAGGTCAAACACTCAAAAACAAAACATGCATGCTTTGCAATATATATCACAAATTCAAGAAAAAGCACCAATACTGATGAAAATGAGACAAGAATATGAAATAAATAAAACATGTACTGTAATGAATAGAGAAAAGAGAAAACTTCATCAGTGAAAGCACTCATACAACAGAGAAAACTGAAGATGAAAAGAAGAGGCAATAGGTTTTCTGTATGAAAAATTTCCTTTAGTACAGGAAAGGCGTACCTTGGTTTTTAAACAACTGTGTTTAATCATTTTTTTTGTTGGTTATTATATTACTCACTAAATATACCTAATTTAAAGATATGGTGAAATTTCTGTATGATGCCAGTATTTGCTCAAAACGATGTGGATCGTTATATTCCTAAAAAAAAGCTAGGAGTGTTTGAGCAAATAATTTTTAATATTCTTCCTACAGTTTTATATTTTCTTTTACCCTGATCCCATTAGTTAGGCATTTCTCTTCACATTTTAAGCAATAGTAACTAGTGAACAGGAATTATTGATTCTTCAAGATTAAACAAATTAACCCTACATTTCAAGATTTAATTATTAAGGTAGAATGGGTGTCTTTTTCTGAGCATTCCTTCTGGGAATGTTGCAAAAAATCTTTTTTTACCAAGTATCCTTCAATACAACAGAAACATCTAAATTTAAATATTAAACTATGGAAAATTAAGTGTTGTTACGCATATATAAAAAATTTCAGAAAAATACTTTTAAAAACACGGGCAGATAATTATATTGAATTTGACAGGACAATTTATGTTTTGGGGATTTTTCAAGAAAATATGGCTGGTAACCCCTCTATTTTTATTTGATATTTCAAACAAGGAAAAAATTCAAGCTTCCCCTATATATCCCATATAACTGAACTGTAATTTTGTTAATTTCAATGTATGAAAAAACAAGGTCTGTAACCCCCAGTTTTTATATTGAAATTTGATCATACATTGACCAAGAAGTCTTTTACCGAAGATTAAGAAAAATCTATTGTTGAACATTTAGACACCTGAGCTACATTTAGCAACTCTCAGATGCATCAATAGGGTAAGTATTGCTCAACTTTTTCTGTGTATTATTTTATGGACTATTTAATTATAACTTATTTTTCTTTTGGTCATCTGTTTGTTTTCTTCCTATTGTCCCCTGGTATATTTTATCCCCTTTTTGACAATGTAAATTTCTGAAAGATGTCATCTGAACATTACCAAGATGCTTATTGAAGTTCTTGGTAGACTTTTTGTTTCATGTTTCAGTAAATTGGATTTAAAGTTTTCAATACAAAATGATTTAATCTATAAAATCCTGATTTTTTTTTATGGGACAAGTGGAACATTTATGATTTGAATAGCATATTAAAAAAAAATGTATCATACTGACTGTTTAAAAAAAAGAAAAAATCAACAACAAACAAATGATTGTTTGCATACAAAACAAACACATTCATTCAAGCAAAATACATAATAATCAATATGTAAAATCAAAATTCACACTTTTTTAAATTAAGATTTTTTCTGTAAACTCATATACATAAATAAATATTTACTTCTTCTTAACATGATACATTTTCTTATCATTTTGTCAATATAAATATTACATATATCTACTTGGAAATATTACTTCCATGATATAACACACGTATATCCAAATTATTATAAATTATGAAATACGGTGAAAAAAAAATGCCAAACAAATTCAAGAGGTAGATTGATTTCCAAGACTTTTGAAAAATTAATAAGTCAATTAAAAGAATTATTAAGTTCAATCTTTTTTAGTTTATTCTTCCATTTGAAATTTTTTTTATACAAGTTAATATCAAAAGGGGCTGTGTCAATAATTTTCCTTTTTAATATAGAAAATCATCAACTGGCATTGAAAAAAAAAACCAAATAAAATGTCATACCCAATAACAACAATAGAAAAAAAGAAGTTACACACAATGGCATGAAAAGTATACTCCCACTCATTATCAAATATTAATGGAAAATCCATGTTTAAGGTGATCATAATAAAATAAAAGTATCATCAAACAGGAAGTACAACTCAACATTATAAAGTTTCAGACCAAATATTAAATCATTCCTTCATATAGTAATATTTGTAGAAAATATGGAGACGGCCAGACCGATATGTTAAAAAAGTGACTACACTTAACAAGACACTCTGTGAGTTGGGGTATGATATTCATGTTTACAAATCTATTTTATCAAAAAACTGTATTAAAGAATTCTTTGACACCGAGGAATAAAATCTATAAATTGACTTTATTTGACATTTATGCCATGTCAGAAAAATTGCACTTTTTCTTGCGGGCCTTTGAATTTTTAACCAGAGTAACCTAATCTTTAAAGTCCACTTTCAATGAACACTTAGTCACTGACTACAGTGAGTTCTACATTAATCTAGATAGCCGGTCAAGTGATCTAAGGGAGATAATTCAAATATTTTTTTATATAAAATCTATTATCTCCCTTTGAGTTTTAAGATTAAATTGTGTAAGGGTACTAAAACAGATTTGTCAAATCTTTCTGCCCTCATAATTATTTGTAAGCATATGTATATCTTAGGTTATAGATTATCTTGACTATTACTATTTAGAAACATGTATTTAAATCATAAAATAAGAAGTCTAATAAAGAAATTTACGTTCCCAAACCAATGCAAAATGTAAATCTACAAAGAATTGTACTATATTTCTTTACACCTTATAAATACAATGATGAAAAACAGAAAGAGAAATCTGATTCAAATGTTTGTATTGCATATCTTATGTAGGAAAAGTTTCCTCCTACAACATATGGCATTGTAAAGATTAAATTGAACAGTCCTTGTATTGATTCCTTAAAACTTCTTTGCTAAAATGAGACTGAAGGATCTTAATATGGGAGCACAATGTACCATCTAAGGCTATTATAAATAATTGTTCATTCTAACAAATAATGAAGGAAAAGACATAAAATAACTGACCAAAAAAGATACATCTATAGCATTATATTTTAACAATGTCTGATGATAGTACTACACAAAAGACAATATACCCTTGTACCTGTTGTATCTAGATCCAACAATCTTTTAACAATAAACATGATAAACATCAGACACTTTACATACAATTATGGATTTCAATTTTCATAGTGCGTAAAAATAAATGTTTATAATGTTATCTTTACCAGAAAGAAAACTGTATAAATATAGAATAAACCAACAATAATAACAATATGTATAAAAAATTAAATATTCCTTGTACCAAAATGTTTGGAAGCTCAGACACCTTACCAGAAAAGCTAACAATAGGCAAAAATATAAATAAGCAAGACGTCTGTTTCCCAGTCCTAGTTTTCCTCTATTCTTCTTTCATCATTTTTGCTTATTCTTTAACTTTTAAAGAATCAATGGATTAACTCCCTTTCTATTAAGTCTCCAGTCATATTCATTATATTTAACATCAACAGTTCCATAACTTTGTAATTTTGCTAGTAGAGTCCATGCTCTTTCTTGAATATTCAATTCTAAATATGGAATAGTCCATCTAAAATAAAGAAATGTAGATTAAATATTTAAAATGTGTATTTTTTTCATGTTGGGGTCTTAATAGCTGACTACAGGGTATGGGTTTTTCTCATTGTTGAAGTTGTACAGTTGCCTATAATGGCTTTATTTGAACTTTGGTGGAAAGTTGTCTCATTTACAATCATACCACATCACCTTCTTTTTACAAACAATTCAAACATTATAAAAAGCCTTTGATATGCTATAGAACTCTCTTTAGTACCTGGAAGAAATAACAGTATTTTTTGGCAGAAAAAAAATACACTGAAAAGGAAACAACTATCAAATATTCAGTAAAGGTCTCGTAGAAATAAAGGTTATATTAAATTTTTGCAGGGACTTTACATACAATACATTTCAAGAAATTGCAAGACCCATATAAACAAAATGTGTATGAACAAAAAGAGCACTTAAACAAAACAAACCCCCAAAAATGTTTTATTATGAATATCACACAAATTTACCTTTCTCAAAATCTGAGAACCTATGATTAATATTGAATTACCATGAAAATTATATGGCATTGATTGTTTATTCATACATAAGAATTTATAAATACATGTACCAAATAAAATCTACTGTGGATTCATTTATTTTCATGGGTACCAATTTTCGTGGATTGAGGAAAGCTTGCATTTTCGTGGATATTTGATTTCATGGTTTTGCTATAAAAATGGTTGCATATATTCCTAATGAAAATTTGTAATAGGTTGAACATTTCAAATCATGGTTACCCTGTATCCTTGAAAATTGATATCTCAAGAATAATAATGAATCCAGAATATAGCAACATATTTCTTTTACTATGATACTATACAACAATTGTACTACATTTTATGACAATACAAAATGATTGGTAGGGTGTATATACAGAAGAATAGGAAGATGGACATAAAACCATGTGATCTGATTATTTAATTTTTGTCCAGTTTGGAAAATGTTTTAGCTATTAGGGTCTTCCTTCCATTCTGAATCTATAAAATTTGGTAAACCAAAATAACAAATTTCTTTCCACAAAAACTCCTAGAACTCAAGACTGTCACATTTTAAACCTATAAAAACTTTGCTGAGAGAAAAACAACCAGAATTTGAAGGGTATAAGGTGGGTGTGAAGGGTTTTGAGGGTGGCAGAGTTACTCTCTCAATTTTCAAAATTATTTTATGTCTGACTATTATTCAACAAAACTTCTTTGAAGTTTTGAAAGTCTAAAGCTGAGAGACTTAGAATAATGAAATTTAATTTCTCTTTTACATAAAACTTCTTAAAAACATGTTATAAAAAAGGTGATTTCAGCTTGAACAAAATTCAAATTTATGAAATAACTGACTGAGTGCAAAGGAACTAAAACTAACTTTGTCGTGAGCTAGGAAATGTTTTACAACATTGTTTTCGGGGGAGTTTGGGAATATTTTACCTTACAACATGATTTTTCATAGTTTCAAACTTATTGTGTGCCGATTTTATTTATTCTCCAATCATAATTGTGATATTTGACCTTGACATTTCCCTGTGTACATAATGCCTCTGCCATTTCTTGTTTACTTAATTCCAAATAAGGAATTATAAATCTGGAAAGGAAATGTTTGGAGTATTACACAATTTTTTTCTTGTAACCTACTGGTGAAGACACTTCATTGTAGATCAATAGTTTTCATGAAGAGTTTGTTGAATTGTTGTAGAAAAGACAAAGACCTCTAAGTTAACTTCAAGATCATCTCTCTAATATATCACAATAAGGAGATGTGATATGGTTGTCAATAAGACAACTATCCACTTCATTCCAAAATGGAGTGGATATAAGCAACTATAGGTTACCATACAGCCTTCAACAATGAGCAAAACCAATATAGTACAGTCAGCTATAAAAGGCCACAACATACTAATTCCAAAGCCACTTTTGCTACATATTTGCCCTACAGTTCTTTAGTTTTTTTAAGGCTTTAAAATTACAAATGTTAGCCGAGCCACCTTTAATCTTGTAATAAGGACAAGAACGGCAAGTCTTTACAAAATTAAAATTATGAAAGTATGAAGAAAAATTGTTAACTACAAAATTCGACAATGATGGACTTGATTTCAGGGAAAATTGCTGATTATAATTTGATTATTTGAAGAATGATAAATATATTATTCCCCCTTGTTGGTTATCTACCTCATCAAATAATGACATTATAGGATGATTAAACTTATATTCTCCCTTTATATTTAAAATAATTTTTATATGCCCGTTTACGGGACGTATTATGGTATACCGTTGTCCGTCTGTCCGTCCGTCCGTCGTCAACATGTCGGACATTAACTCAAAAACGCTTTAACCAATTTGCATAAAATTTTGGTGAATTGTTAATATCTATTGACGTGAGCTCCCTTTCGTTTTTTATAAATTTTGGATTTTACGTTTCCGAGTTATGTGGTTTTATTCATTAAAAAAAGGGGGGTTTTCCAGTTTTTGGACAATAACTCAAGATTGCTTATACCAACTTGCAAGAAATTTTGGTTAATTGTTTATATCTATTGACATGAGCTCCCTTTTGATTTTTATAAATTTTAGACTTTATCTCGTATCGCATGAGGATTTTCCAGTTTTCGGATAATAACTCAAAAATGCTTTCAGCAGTTCTCATGAAACTTTGATGAATTGTTGATATCTATTGATGTAAGCTCCCTTTAGAATTTTATGAATTTTAGATTTTACATTTCCGAGTTATGGGGTTTTATTCATTAAAAAAGGGGGATTTTCCAGTTTTCAGACAATAACTCAAAAATGCTTTCAGCAATTCTCATGAAACTTTGGTGAATTATTTATAGCTATTGATGTAATCTCCCTATTGATTTTCATAAATTTCAAATATGACATTGAGAAGAAATTGAACTTTATTTGTTTAAAGTCTGACAACAGATTTACTAAGTATTCCGCAACAGCAAAGTGTATTGCACAACAGCAAGAAATCTTTAATTGAATATAAATTCAATTCATATAACTGGGTTAATTGTTTATATCTATTGACATGAGCTCCCTTTTGATTTTTATAAATTTTAGATTTTACGTTTCCAAGTTACGGGGTTTTATTCATAAAAAAAAAGGGGGATTTTCCAGTTTTCAGATAATAACTCAAAAATGCTTTCAGCAGTTCTCATGAAACTTTGATGAATTGTTGATATCTATTGATGTAAGCTCCCTTTAGAATTTTATGAATTTAAGATTTTACATTTCCGAGTTATGGGGTTTTATTCATTAAAAAGGGGGATTTTCCAGTTTTCAGACAATAACTCAAAAATGCTTTCAGCAATTCTCATGAAACTTTGGTGAATTATTTATAGCTATTGATGTAATCTCCCTATTGATTTTCATAAATTTCAAATATGACATTGAGAAGAAATTGAACTTTATTTGTTTAAAGTCTGACAACAGATTTACTAAGTATTGCGCAACAGCATAGTGTATTGCACAACAGCAAGAAATCTTTAATTGAATATAAATTCAATTCATATAACTAATTTCAAGTTCTTTGACTACATTTATTCAGAAACCTATAATATGTCAAATATTTAATTACAATCCAAATTCAGACCTGTATCAAGCTTGAATATTGTGTCCATTTTTGTCCCAACTGTTCAGGGTTGGACCTATGCGGGCGTATCCAGCTGCGCTCAGCGAAGCAGTTTATTTCATATTCTGTAATTGTACTTTTGTAATTGTAATTTTTGTCTATTGTTGAAAACCTTTAAAAAATGACACGATGTTGGGTAAATTTCTATTTCCCCGACTTAAGTCTGCACTTAAAATTTGTATTGTCGGTAACAATTCAACAAACCTCCTTTTTTATAACAAAGTACTTACTTAATAACATCTAAATCTGTTTTGCCAAAATCATCCATATACCACTGAAATATTTTTGACAGCCAGATCTCATCTGTTTCTGTAAACATTGACACCTCTTGTTTGCAGAAATTCTTTGTGGCATCCTCTAATGCTCTGTCTAGGTTCTCAGCCGTGTAAACATTGATCACAGGACATGACTGTACCCAAATAAAAACAATATGTACAAATTAAGAAAATAAATTAAATTAAAAAACCTGCAATCCAACATCACATGGAAACCTAAATATCTGTCACACGACAAGATTTATAAGAAAAAAACACAATGTACAATAGAGTTGATCAAGTATTAGGACAGGGACCCAACAACAAATATACCCAAGAATAAAACTCAAGATGTGTTTGTTTTTTTTGTATTCTTAAGTGCTGTCTCATTAATTCATATCTCTCAGGCTACCATTTGACAATGGTATATCCCAGTATAGAAAGCTATACACTTTGCGATCGGTAGAGAAAACTTTATATGAGACACCTTTTAGAATAAAAAGCTATACACTTTGCCAACGGTAGAGAAAACTTTATATGACACACATTTCAGAATAAAAATCTATACACTTTGCCATCAATAGAGAAAACTTTATATGAGACACATTTTAGAAGCTATACACTTTTCCATCAGTAGTGAAACCTTTATTTGAGACACATCAAACAGAAAATCAATTAAATGGGACTCCATACCATAAAATTTAAATTTACTGTAACATTATTTACTTGTAAACAGAAAATAATATAAGTCACATCACATTAAAGCTTCTGGTTCTATTATTGTGAACTGTGAATCAACAATAAATTAATCTTCTTGTTTTTTGTATTTGCACTTTTCCATGTGCATGTAGTTTTCTTTATTGTTTTTATCTTTTTATCAGGTATCTTTATCTGTATTTGTTTGCTTATCTAATGTTGATTTTCTTATAGAATTTGAACATCACTAATGAATGCATTCATGGGTTACTTAACTGATGAGAAATTTTCACTTGTGCCTAATTTTTATAAAATGATTTAAACTATTGTAACATTAATGTGCCCTTTTCAAATAACTTGATGTCTACTTACAGATTGTATCTGACCTATATAGCTTTATCATTGTGTGTTATGTTTTGGTCATTTTAATATAGTCAATTAGTAAACCCCACCAATTTGGTGTTTGTGCCATGCCATTCTAGCTAGCCAATATGGTTCTGTCTGTGTTGCAGGAGAAAGGATGAAGGATTCAAAAACATTGGAAAACCCAAGAGTAGGAATGGTGTGGAATGGAAAACATTTTCTTCCATTGTTGAAATCATTTGGTGGGGAAAAAGCATGTGGAATATCATTATTCGTTTACAATCTTTAATATAAGATTTAGACAATAAAACATCTATATACAATCAATGAATTTTTTCACTCTTTTAGGAAAAATAACAAATATATCATCCATTTGTAAAGGGAAATAACTTATAGATAACTGAAAACTTACAGAAAAAAAAAATTACTGAAAACTTACAGAAATAAACTGTTGACACATGCAGAGATATGTCTTTCCTGCTGTCATAAAATTCAGAAAAAGACAATCTGATGGACAGCAACATTGCTAATTCATTCAAAGACGCTGGACCATGAACTAGAAAACAGGGCGTTAAAATGATTGAAAAACTGAGATGTACAAACAGTAAGGTAGCTTTATAGAAAATATGGTTGTCTATTGTAAGTAGTTCCTATCAAACTAACTTAAGCAGAAAACTTAACATTGAAAATTGCTAATTAATTCAAAGCCACTGGACCATGACCTTACTGACAGGGCATTAAAATAGTCGCCAAAATGATATGTACTGATAGTAATGCAACTTTATAGAAAATATCATTGATTTATTCAGTTCCTATCAAACTAACTTAAGCAGAAAACTTAACAATTGTTGACACCGTTGACGCAGACGAAGTTGCTGGAAAAGCAACACCTATGTTTCACCTTCTGCAACGAGACAAAAAACAGTCTTCTTTAGTCACACGTTTTTCATTGATTGTGCAGTTTTTTTTGCCGTCACTATGTGTAACAATCATTATTATTGTCTTATTGAATATAATTAGAATTGGAAACATTAATTAAGATTTGATAGAAAGATACAAATGTACATATTTTGAAACATACCACTGCACCACATACTAAGGCAAAATGTATCCTTGGGTCAAGAGTACAGACAAACTTCAGTCTGAGATCTTTTGGATTGAACGGTGGACTCATTGAAGATGGATGTGGTTTGTTTCCTGTAAATAAAAAGAAAAGAATAAGAATTACAGTGCTTGTAAAATTTGAACAGTACACACAAGATGATTCAGTGAAAAATAAATCTTGCTGTTCTTGGTGTTGAGTGAATTACTATGAAACAGAGTGATTGCTGATGATTGGATAGGATTTAAGACCCTGTCTTATAACATAAAGAAGCTGTGTAATATTATCACACATTTAAATTTTGAATAATGTTTAGGTAATTAGAAAGATGCCAATACTGTATGAATTCATCATTTTTACCTGTTTTAATAAACTGCTTCGCTGAGCGCAGCTTGATACGCCCGCAGAGGTCCAACTCTGAACAGTTGGGGCAAAAATGGACACAATATTCAAGCTTGATACAGGTCTGAATTTGGATTGTAATTAAATATTTGACATATTATAGGTTTCTGAATAAATCTAGTCAAAGAACTTGAAATTGGTTATATGAATTGAATTTACATTCAATTAAAGATTTCTTGCTGTTGTGTACTACACTGTGCTGTTGCGAATACTTAGTAAATCTGTTTTCAGACTATAAACAAATAAAGTTCAATTAATTCTCAATGTCATATTAGAAATTTATGAAAATCAAAAGGGAGCTTACATCAATAGATATAAACAATTTACCAAAGTTTCATGAGAATTGCTGACAGCATTTTTGTGTTATTGTCCAAAAATTGGAAAATCCCCCTTTTATAATGAATAAAACCCCATAACTCAGAAATGTAGAATGTAAAATTTATAAAATTCTAAAGGGAGCTTACATCAATAGATATAAACAATTCACCAAAGTTTCATAAGAACTGCTGAAAGCATTTTTGAGTTTTTGTCCAAAAACTGGAAAATCCCCCTTTTTTTCTGAATAAAACCCTGTAACTCGGAAACGTAAAATCTAAAATTTATAAAAATCGAAAGGGAGCTCATGTCAATAGATATAAACAATTCACCACAATTTCTTGCAAGTTAGTGAAAGCATTCTTGAGTTATTGTCCGAAAACTGGAAAATCCCCCTTTTTTTAATGAATAAAACCCCATAACTCGGAAACGTAAAATCTAAAATTTATAAAAAACGAAAGGGAGCCCACGTCAATAGATATAAACAATTCACCAAAGTTTTATGCAAATTGGTAAAGGCATTTTTGAGTTAATGTCCGACATGTTGACGACGGACGGACAGACGGACGGACGGACGGACGGAGGGACGGACGGACGGACAGATGGACAGACGGACAACGGTATACCATAATACGTCCCGTAAACGGGCGTATAAAAATGGTATATTTCTTTACAATTTCTCATTTGATTTTGCTTTTAATTTATGTGTGGTCAAAAGATCAATTTAGCAGGGACACAACTTCATTTCCTGTATGAAAATCTGTGGAAGTTTTGGTTGAATTCTCTCAAGCAGTTTTCAAGTTGTGGCTTAACAAAATGAGACATGGATGACATATACAAACCCAAAACGACTAAAATTATCCCTATGTGTGGCCAAATATTTTAATTTTTCTAATTGTTGACTGCTGAACATGTAACAGTGGTTTGATTCCGCAAGTGTACTTTATCCGGAGGAAGAAAATCCCCAGTGATTTTTATCCACCAGCAAAAAATCACTAGGGTTTTCTATCCAGGTCCAGTGTAAAACATCCACCAGTCATTATAAGGTTCTAAAAAGGTATTTTTGAAGGGGAAATATATATAAAATGTGGCTTAATAGTTTTTAGTGTATTTAAAAATTGCATAGCTGATTTATGTAAAAAGTGGAGAGTTTTCATCCAAGGAATGTTCACACTAGTGTTTATGAACCAGGAATGATTACACTAGTGATTTTGTACCGGAATGATTGCACTAGTTATTTTATATCCGGCGGGATTAATTACACTAGTGCTTTAGATCCATTCATTGATGAAGTGATTAGTACTCATTTTGAACACAGGATAACACAATAATGCTTATTAATGAATGAGATTTAAATAATTTTTCTATGCAAATCTATAAAATCATATGCTTTTAAATTGTCACTAATTGTAATACTTAAATTTATTGGATTGCCGAAGTTTTTCTATGTGTATTTGCTTTTCGGTCTCTTCTAATATCAATATCAAAGGATGCTTCAGTAATTGAAACTTTATGTAAGAACAAATCTGCTCTTTAAATTTGGTTTGTATCAAGTTCAATGTCCTGATCATTGATAAAGTATTTTGAGTTATATAATTATCCTCCTCATCATCATCAATATTATTTACTGGATTGACTCAGATTAATTAAACTGGTTCCTTGAAAATCATTTTAATTTTAACCCATTTACTTATGTAAACAATAAATCAGTCTAATATAAACAAAACAACGATATCAAGATTGACACTTTCACACTATTTACATCCAATATTCTCTAGTGAAAAACAGTTACCCGGAATAAACACACAGCGGAATGAAAGTACGCTTACAAACCCACCTTATGCCTAGGACCCTTGGCCTAGGGGCCCCCTTTTTTTACAATGAAAATTCTCTATTCGACCACTTAACATCAATCTTATAAGCTGAATAAGATTATTCTTATGCTATCATTATCCCTTATTACTATTCACAAGTTCAATCCCAACGGCACTCAATGTGTTGATTCTGCTAATCAAATATTCATGGGGATGAAGTCACTCCATGGAACAAATTAACATAGGAATCTTATCTGTTTGAATTATATGGTTACTAGTTTGTACTTATTTATATTTTATAATGTTTGTTATATGAATTCTTTTAACAATAGATTAAGTAATACTTTATTCAAGGAAAACCATTCCAAAGATATATTGATCAATTAAATTTTATTGCTAATGAATATAGATATAAGAAGATGTGGTATGAGTGCCAATGAGACAACTCTCCATCCAAGTCAAAATTTATAAAAGTAAACCATTATAGGTCAAAGTACGGACTTCAACACGATGCCTTGGCTCACACCGAACAGCAAGCTATAAAGGGCCCCAAAAATTACTAGTGTGAACCCATTCAAACGGGGAAACCAACGGTCTAATCTATATAAAAAACGAGAAACGAGAAACACTTATGAACCACATCAACAAACGACAACTACTGAACATCAGATTCCTGACTTAGGACAGGTGCAAACAATTGCAGTGGGTTTAAACGTTTTAATGGCTTGATAAGACTTGAATTATAAAAAAAAAAATCTTACTGGTTTTACCTTCTTAATATCTTTATCTTTATGAATCAGGTTCCATTTTTGATTTTAATATATATGTATGTGTACAATAACAAATGCATGCCATGTTCTTTCAAAAATGTTGGACTTCACAAAAAAGAGAAAAACTAACGGATTGGGAAGATGATTTGAAGAATACGTCTGATGAAAATTACAATAACATTTATTGAAGCTATTAGTACTAAGTTTTTCTGTTGGTTTACATGTATATAGTCTATGGTTTGGATTTATCAGGTTTTATGGACTTCCCCTATTTGAATTTACCTTGGAGTTTGGTATTTTTGTCAATACTTTTTTCAACATGCACTAAAACTAAAGTCTTGTCAAACATTTTCTTAAAACTTTCATTTTTAATAATTTCCCTGCAGTACATAAATTATATACACTGTTAATACTAATTCATCTTCCATTGTTGAAATCATTTGGTGGGGAAAAAGCATGTGGAATATCATTATTCGTTTACAATCTTTAATATAAGAATAATCTTTTCATGTGTACAAAAGAGTGTTAGAAAAAGAAATCTTGTTATACAAATTTTATCATTTGTACCAGCCTTAGCCTTTACTTGTGGAACAGAGAATCATTTCCCTCTCAGAGCACCTGTATCCATCCCTGGTTTTTAATGGGGTTTGTGTCCTGAGTAGGTGTTTTGTGGTACTGGTCTTAAGGTATATTCTCTTTTTTAATTAGGTCATGATATTGCTTACCCCTTTTCAACTTACGGTAAATTTCATTGTTGTCTAGGTATCTTCATACACTGTTTTTTAAATAAAAGGTGGCTCCCTAAATATTTACAGGAAGATGTAATTAAATGTGATTCGATATCCTGCATGTATCACGCTTTAGCAAAAAATATGGTCAAACTGTTATAAGACCCCCCACCTCAATGATTGAAATCTATCGTTTTGTATTTGTATCATAATTTACATCTTGGTGAAAATTATATACACCCAATCGAGCTAACGGCCTCAAAGGTGTATCTTATACATGTTGTGCACACGTTTTTTAAGTATTATCATTTGTATCTTTTACACTAGTCTACAGGTAAACATTCAATGATAAACAATCAATGTATCATGTGACTTTACTGTAGTGTTATTGTTTATATAATTACTAAATGTCAAGGCTGACAATTTTTTTTTTCTTTCAGACTGTGAATCAATAAACATAAATACATTTTCAATATAAAAAAGAAAACTGCAGCAGCAACCTTTCATCATGTGATTATCAGCATGATAATGAATTGCTGAGGGTTCAGTTCTTCTGCACTATACATCTGCAGGTATCTCACTAAGGATTTTTGCAAGTGAGTCCAGCAACTTGTCATTTTTGGCCATGGGGAGTCCAACAGTGAGAAGAAATTTGATTGCAATATTATTTATTATTTCAGTCTCCATGACAAAACAGAGCACGGAAATGATGTCAAATTTAGATTTCTTTTAAACTATGCTATGAAATGATGATAATTGTGCTTAGTTGAAACAAAATTTTCAACCTTGATGTCCAGGCAAATTTTCATGAGTCCACCATGACTCATGGACTCGCCTAAGTGGGAACCCTGCATATGCATTACACCTACTGCTCATGTCAATTCAAATTTTACCCCACATTCTGTATTAAAATTAAATAGAAAAGCTTCACTCTTTTTCAGTTCTCGTATGTACAATTTTAACGATAAAAGAAAGTAAATGGTGGCATGTCAAGTTTATTGTTGGCCTTTCCATTTGGTACGCACAGGAGACGATCGCCTTAAAGTTTAGACATTTTGTACCATGGATTAATAGAATGGACATTATCCACCTCAGTTGTACTGTAAAACCTTTCTATAATAATATTATTTGCATGACACAGGATGGATGCCACATACATGTGGAACAGGATTTGTTTACTTTTCCAAGGCACCTGAGATCATCCCCTGTTTTATGTGGGTTTTGTATTGCTAAGTCTTTAGTTTTTTATGTAGTGTTTCACAAACTCTCTCTTTAAATTATGAATTTTGATTTCCCCTTTCCATCAATTTTTTTAGAACCATACTAGAACACACCCGCAACATCGCGAGTCTAGTGCCTAGGCCTTATTTTCAGCCTGGATTTTTAGTATACGTATTGTCATTTGATAAAGTCTTGCTGATTATAAGGTGCACCGTTTTCTCTGCTTTCAAAATCTTTCTGTTTAAATCCGTCCTGGTTTTTTCTTACAAAAACCTGCAACTACTTGTAGATATATTTTTTTGGTCAATGATTGAATTTAGTAGTGTCAATCCCTGTATAATGACGAAGTTCAGGTGTGATTATGACCCGTGTATATAGCAATCCCAAATATACCGTTTGGTGGTGCATCTGACAGAGACTGAACGCACAGATTAGGTAGCATGTAATAGGTACTATTGGTATGGGTATCAGATTCGACCCGGAACTTGTTAATTATTGGTAATATTAATTATTTGGATAACAAAAGGCTTTAGGGAATGGTGTAATTTTTTATCAACACCATTGTCATGATTGTCCTATATTAGTTATATAAAAAGTTGAAATCTTTGATTCGTCGTTTTTACGTCATGCCAGCTTACAAATTGGACCTCATTATTTTAGTAATATAGATGGGTCTTTGGGTCAAAGCAAAAAATACAAAAAAAAAAACTTCACTAACACAATCAAGAATTGCAGCAAATGAACACTGAAAAACCCATAGTCATGATAGTGTAACTTTTGGTGGACCAGGGTTCTCAAAATGTGGAGGTCTGAAAGTCCTGACCACCAAAAGGTTTGCAAAAGACCGACACAATTTTTGTATTTTGCAATATATATTATATCGACAAGCAGATTTTCAGCAAGGACAACCAGAAAAGCAAAGATTGTGAGAACTCTGCATGAAATTCATTGTCTCAACCTTAGAGATTGTTTTATAAAATGACCTTCTGATGACAACATTTGAAACTCAGGATTTAAAAGATGTTTTAGCTTGGAAAGTGGGTGATGTTTTTGTATAACCAGGTTTTGTATCATTAATTTTTTAACGATAACTGATCTCTTAAAGTTGAGTTCAGTTTACTGTATAGAAAACTGAACTGCTGGCATTTAAAATTTGTAATCCATAAATTACAAAATCCATTCTTTCTAATTAGTTTAAAGATCAATCCTAAATTATACATGTCATATTTTTAAAATACATTTACATTGTGAAATACTGAAAAAGCATGTCATTTATAAAGGATTGAACAAATTTGATCACACAAAAACATGTTAATGAATATTTTATCTTTGTGAAGAAATCAGTCATTTCACAATATTTTATTTTAAGATTAGGACCTTTAAACAAACAAATTGGGATAGGATCAAAGTTCATAATTGGGTTCAAGTTTTCCATAAATATATATTTATCACACAATTAAATCACAATCAATTTAAACTTAAATATGGAAAACAATTTATAACAGTATAAAATCTTGATCTATAGTAAAACCTGTTTGAACCAAACCCTCCATGATTTTTTTTTCTAGAAACCTCTGTCTGACAGAATCTTTTAACCATGGTAACAGAACATATAATTACATTGTGTTGTTTTTTTTCTAAATAAAACAAAACCAAATTCATATATATCACCAGTCTTATTTCAAATATGATCTTAATTTTCAGTCCAAAATGGTTTAGTTAGGATAGGTATCACTGTATTAAATCTATAAGATGGATAATTAGAGCATACATTCAAGACAGATCATAAATTTTTCCTTTAAAAAGAAATTCTGATATTAAATTTTTCATCAATAAGAATATACTGCAATTACAAAACTATGACTATGGTTTAGTTGAGCTGATCATACTACATGAACATAAAAGATGAAAAATAACATAAAACTTTAATGCTTTCTAAAATTATAAATATTTAGTACTGAAACCATTAAGGAAATATTTTAATTTGTGAATACATTGATTTTTGCCATCTTAATGTTGGATTATTTTATAATCAATTAATTTTTCTCAGTTACCCCAGTATTCAATTCTCTTAAAATGTTGTATAAAACATAAATATTAAACAACTTCTTCTATATAATCTATTTTATGACTAATTGACTTCAAACATAACTTTCAATGGGCAATTTGCCAATAGATTAAAAAAAATACCAAACAACTGTAAAGGTTTTAAAGGTGAAATAACAAGCTATGACCAGTCTGACCACTCTGAAACCTTAAAACATTTACTTAAAAATCTTACAAGTTTTTGCATGTTTTCTACAAGCAAGGTAGTAAATATCTAAAAAGTGAAATAAAATGTCCTTGCTATCAAATTTATCTACCTTTTATAAAATGAGTATCCCATTAGCTGACAAAATATTTTGCTTCCCCAAAAGGCAGAAATAAATAAACTTAATGAGGTACTTGATTTAAGCATAGTTAATCTAATTCTACATAAAATCCTAGCATTAACAGTCACATATATGTCATACTTATTGCAAAAATAGGTTAAAGGCTATAGGTTATAGGTTATAGGACAGAAGAACAATCGATTATACTGAGGAGTGAAAATACTGCTGTCATTAAATCAAAATCAATAAAAGTGATAATCCTTTTAGTCTGTTTTTACCTAGCTATCATATGTAATCAAGAGCAATGTAAACCAAGATTTCTTTTGTCATATAATCCTTCAAGTCTGTGAAGAAAGCAAATTCTACCATAACTTTTTAAGGCCTTATATCTAATTATAGTCTCCTCACATGTGTATTACTCCTTCATAGTCTCTTCACATTTTTTCACACTTTATTTTCAGCAGTCACCATGTTTTATAATAATTACTGACAGTAAAATATATTGTCTGAAATCACAATTTTACAAGTGTTGTTAAAAATGGCACTTTTCATATGACATAATCCCATTACATTTAACATGTATGAAGCTTTTACAATATTGATACCAGTTTTTTGCAATACTAAGCAATTTCATCATTATTTGAATGGGCTAAACTAAAGTAATATAATCTTATATGACTTTTATATACATTGTAGCCCTTTCAAATAATGCTGAAATACCCCATTTTTATTTTTTTAAATCTAAAATTAACATAATTAATTAAATAGTCTATTTCTCTGAAATTATAAGGTTTACAGGTGTGTGCAAATATAAAATATACATGCATCACTTTTCATTAAAAAAAATCCTTTATTTCTTATAAAACCATGGATCAAACAATTTATTATTATCCTATACCTGCTCTTTGTTATATATTTGAAAATCAAGATTAAACAACAAAAATTCCCCTCAATTTCTGTTGACGTCTACCATCAAATTACAGTTTTCACTCCACATGCGCTTACAAAACATAGACATGTACATACCTCTTAATATTCCATGCTCTATATCATCTAAGCTAAATGTATGCCCTGCTACATTATAACACGTCTTTTTCCAAAACTGTTGGACATTTAAAACAGAATCTGGTAATGCATCCATTCTTGCCAAACCATGGATGGTAAGAGCATTATATAAATCTGAATGCAGTTAAGGTACAAATAGAAAAAAGTTTTATAACATATGTAATGAACAATATGGGTACTTTTAATTCATGGGGTAACAACATGGCTAAAAAAAAGAGAAGGAAAAGATAGTCCATAATTAAGATTCCTAAAAAGCTGAATACTCAGAGCAACACAAACTTCACCAAAAAGCGGAGGTGAACAAAGTGCAGACAAAGGAAAGAAGAATAAGTTGTATCGATTTTTTTTTGGTTTGATGCAAATTCCTGGATTATCCTTTATAAAGAATGTTTGGAGCAGAAATTTCCAATCTACATCAGGATGTATCCACGTGGCTCCAACATGTTCAAATCTGACTTGCCACCTTACCAGACATCTCATTTAAAATGACCTGTGATCTTTTAAAATACTCAAAACGTTACTTAAATTTGCTTAAAAGTGATCTGAGGCAATTTTAAGTGACCTAACGACCTTATAGGGGGTACTCTACTGGAGCCTCATATGTATAAACCACAGGAGGAGCTACAAAATATAAAGATGTATTTAAAAGAAAATTCAAAACACTTTCAGGAATTCAACTTTATCACATTAGATTATAAAAAACAAGAATGTGTCCATAGTACATGGATGCCCCACTCGCACTATCATTTTCTATGTTCAGTGGACCATGTAATTGGGGTCAAAACTCTAATTTGGCATTAAAATTAGAAAGATCATATCATAGGGAACATGTGTACTAAGTTTCAAGTTTATTGGACTTCAACTTCATCAAAAACTACCTTGACCAAAAACTTTAACCTGAAGTGGGACAGACGAACGAATAAACAGATGCACAGACTGAAAAACATGATGCCCCCTACTATCGTAGGTGGGGCATAAAAATTCAAAATCTATCACTGAAAATTTATCAAAATACATATACACTGAGTGTTTAATAGTGGATATCAGTGCAAAGAACTGATTTTGTTGTCTTCATTTTACATGTTATATAACCTGGCTTGAACACTTTAGTACTTTTATTGTTCTCATAACATGCTAATGCACATGTATGTCTGAAAGGAAAAAGATTATCAAGTTTAAAAAGCAATTTTCAGTTTTACAGACACTTTATTTTCACATTATGAAATATTTCAATAGTTTAGTCTTTGCAAAAATCATATTAAAGAAATAAAAGAATAAAAGATCTTGGAGATCAAAGGGACAACAATATTGCAATAAATACATGCCAATTTAAATTGTGTAACATTTATTATGTCAATTTCAACCTTTCAAGATCTCAGGTACATTAGATGATTGTAAATCTGAGTATTATGTAAAAGTAGATATAATTTTCATGAGAACTACTGACTTGTCTTTTATAAATCACTACATGTAATATAGAAATAAGGAACTTTGGTATGATCTGTGAATTCAAATCACAATTGATTATAAGTATCTGCATTTGTAAAATCATTTAGAACAAATAAATTACATATTGTGCAATTTGTAAAAATCAAATATAACTTTGATCTTCTTTATTGATAGTTCTATTAGTAATATTGTGTTGTTTATTTACATCATAAGTGTATTATTTATCATTTATAAGGCATACCAATAAAGAATATTTGGTTTAGGGTTTCCTCCTTAAGAAAAAAGGGTAGGTTGCTAACTAAGAATTCTTTTTTATTTTGCTCAATTTTTTACCTTGATTATATGAGGAGATCTGTAATTTTGTCAGGTTCACTAACAAAATTCCCAAAAAACATAATTAAAAGCATTTAGGCATAAATTGAGTGTAGGTAGGGAAGCCTAAACACAAGTATTTATTTCACTTTGGCCTAAGCACTTGACAGATCAGATTAAATCATTTCATTTTATATAACCTCTTAAAAAATTGTTTCCTGTGACTGTCACATCATTTCCATCTATAAATGCATGAATGTTGTTTACATTTTACATGTGGTTTGGTAAAAATCATAACTTGTGCAGATATTTTTGTACAAGTTAGACCAACAACAAAAACCAACCCTTATTTTCAGCCTAAGGATTTTTTGGTATTTTTTTTTAATCAAACCTTTTTAACATGTTTAAAATCACACTGTTTACCTTGTTGAAACCAATTAAATATTTTTTTGAGAAATAGTAAATATATCTGCCTACCTACAAACCCTAGTTTTTTTTGCACAACTTTAGACAATGTTTATAGTGAATCAATGGTATAATTGAATTTTGCTGTATCATTATTTTGACATTTTTTTTCTCTCATCCTGTAATAAAAGTTATATACATGATATATCATCATCTTGATGTTTCACTCTCAAATTTCAACTTCAACTTTTACTTTAAGCACAATGTTCTCTTTGCAACTGAACATTATGCACTGTCCTCTTTTGCATTTGAATTGGGTGATCTTCAACTAAGCACCCAGCATGTAGAGGTAAGAACAAAGAGTCAGACATGACAGTTTACCAGTACTATGGTGTGTTAGCTTACATGTATGTCCAGTTTAAGCAAATTTAAAAAGGGACTGATCATGTTATGCATGTCTTTTAAATGAAAAGCATGGGTATTTTCATATCACAGAAACATGATATCATATTGAAAATTGTAATATTTGCCACTGGATGTGAAGCAGCAATCAATCAATTTGTTATATTTTCTGACAATTAATGCAACCATGTATTATTTGTTTTAAATAGTCTACTTTGACAAATTTGAGCAGGTTGTGCAATACAGACAGCATAACAAATACTGTTTCTAAAAGAAAATTGAAAGGATACTGATGAAGAAAGCTTTCTTTTCATTCTCAGATAAATCTGTTAAACTGACGTTCTGAAGTTGTGACGTTAATTCCTCATACTCCTTGAACTGTTGACTTAATCTGAGTTTTTCATAGTCTACACCTTGCCCTTCATTTCCCATATACTCTCCTTTCAGTCTGAAATGAACAATGCAGTCATAAAATTAATAATTCTAATTCTTTATTTAAAGAGAGTAACACAGTTTAGTTATGGAGCTTACAATTGGTGCAATTTGGGGAAAAATTTACCTGTTTTTAGATGATTTTGTTGTGTATAGAAAACATTAATTTTTCCCCCATATTGCACAAATAGTGATCTTGATTTCACTTCTTTTAGTTGCCCTTACTTGACGAAGTACCAGAATGGCCTACATTTATGCCATAGAGTAGGTATCCTGTCAAAAATTTATATACTCCAGAGTCAAAGGTCAGTTATATGAAAACAGTCTATTCATAGATCAATTTTGCCTAAACTTAGATTTCAATACAGCCAAGTAGACTATTGTGAAGCATTTGGTAATATAACACAGCAGGTACATGTATTATTACTTTTTTTTAATACAAATGAAATATTTGGCATGAAGCATTTATTTTGATAAACAGTAGGAGGTTAACTGTCAATGCTGTTTTCACGGAGAGACATTTTTAGGTTCCTCTTTAAAGAAGAAATTTTGATTAGGCTAAAGTGGTAATTTCCATTCTTTTAAATTTACTCCCAGTGACAGATCTTTAACTTAAAAGTCAATATTTCCTAAAATTTAGTCATTTTAGAACATGTAAAAAAAATTTATAAAAGTATTCAATTGCACACAATTTTGTAGAAGTTCACCATGTTTAGTCAGAATTATTTTACTGAATTTGATTTTTTTCACAGCAAAAAATTAAAATAGCCTTATGACCACCTGAAGCCTACTATCTGTCTTTGCAGAAAAAAGGGGATGAAATACAATAATTCTGATAATTTTTTTTATTTATTATTGTTACATGGTATATTTATTATTGGTTAATTATGAAAAAGACACTTGATAAAAATTTTCCACTCTTAATAACCGAAGAAACAGTAGATAACATACCTCAGCATACATTTCTGTAACTTTTTCGAAAGCTCCACTGCAGAAACTTTGGCCGATGTTTGACCTGGATTTGCGACAGGTTTCTGCGGCATCTGTTGATTCAATATACTAGGTTCGGGACTGCTTGCCATCCTTTTATATAAAATAATTTCGAAATACTGTTGTCAACTTACACCTTTTGAAAATATTGCCATTCAAACAAATTTGATAATATTTCGAAACTCCACCCACGAATTTTGTTATTGACGGAAGAGAGCTGAAATTGTAATAGCCAGACCGGACGCCGAGAACGAACAATATTCCGGGTATAACCGGTTTAATCTGGTTATGCACATATTCCCGGCAGACACTGACTGCTGATATTATCCTCGAATAAATGAATAACGTCAGTAACCATGATAACAGGGATATTGTAGGCAATGAGTATCAAAATAAAATGGAAAAGCCCATATGAAAAGTGAAGCTTTTTTTTGCAGAAAGAGAATCGATCGATTTTTTACTGGCCTCTTGATAACTAGGGACTTTCTTATCTATACTGATCTATACTTACAAGGAATTGTATATTTAAATATACAATTCATTGATACTTAGTATACACTGTCCCTGTGATAACTAATAAAAATATTGTCAATTATTGTAACAAGAGGGGTTAACCGTTTAAACATTTTGTATTTTCTGCGTCATTTTTGATAAAATTTTATCCTACTTTTTACCCCTGTCTGCATTAAGAGTTCAAACCAAGGGCACGAGTCTGATCCTCCATACATGTATTTAGCTTTCAATATAGGGGTTAAACTGAACTAGCAAGTTTTCATAGTTTATCACAGTGGCGTAGTCCACGAGTGGACTGAAAAGTTGGGAGGGGGATTCTAAGTGTCACAATCAGAAAAAGCCTTCTTATTAGTCGGTGCTCTCTTTCGATTTTCATTTTTATTTTCCATATTTTTTTTTGCAAAAATGTGGCGGGAGCCAGGGGGCTTCTTCGACAGTGTTTAAATATAAATAATAGCTTGGTGAATCAGTATCAACGCTTACATTATCATGAATATACACACAAAACAAATGAATGTCGTGTCTTCTCTACATTAAAATCAGACGTCACAAGTCTATATAAAAAAAAACAGATAGCTAGTTTTATAATTTCTCTAAATCATCAGAAGCTATATTATCTGTATCACCTATCATATGTCCGTTTGTTTTGCACACATTGTTGTTAATATAAGTGGAATTATATGCGACTGTCATACAAGTAAGAGGTTTAGCTAGCTATAAAACCAGGTTTAATTCACCGTTTTCTATATAAGGAAATGTCTGTACCAAGTCAGGAATATATGACAGTTGTTTTCCATTCGTTTGATGTGTTTGAGATTTTAATTTTGCCATTTGACAAGGGACTTTCCGTTTTGAATTTTCCTTGGAATTCGATATTTTTCTTATTTTACTTTTTTTTCAACAAAGCCCTTTTCAATTGATTTTTATAGTTTGTTCTTAAGTTCTACTGTTACAATTGGCAAACATTTTATTGGCTTTTCAATAATGAAGACAAAACCATTTTATGTATACTTGCAAATTTCATGCAAACTAATTATGAAATAAGAAATAAGGACATTCTTTAAATATTAGTTCACATATTATTTCAGTAAACATTTTGTATTATGACAGCATACAAAAGATTTAAACTGTACTTAAATCTTTTTGATATAACTACTAAAATAACATCACATGCCAGAACATAGTTTATATTATTTCTACCTCTATTTGGATCATTCTATTCTTATAACATGTATGTATCTGTATGCCCCACAAGGGCTCCGAATTGGAAATAAAACATGTTTAATGTTTAATGTTTAATAGTACACCACTGTCCCATGCATGAAGATCTGCCGGGAGGGTTGGGCGCCCACAAACATGTTAAACCCCGCCACATGTATGTGCCTGTCCGAAGTCAGGAGCCTGTAGTCGGTGGTTATCATTTGTTATTGTATTTCATAATTTTTTTCGTTTTTTTGCTTTTTACATAAAGCAGGCTGTTTGTTTTCTCATTTCGTTTACGTTTTATTATGTCGGGGCCTTTTAAATAGCTTGCTATGCGGTAAGGCTTTGCTCATTGTTGAGGATCGTACGGATAACTATATATAGTTGCTAATATTTATGCCATTTGCACTCTTGTGATAAGCAGATCCTGATCCAAATGTGGCACCATATCAAGATGATCAAGGGTTAATTTGTTAATTTGTCCATTTACAATATTCTCAACTTTTCATTTAATCAATTGAGCTAATCCTCAAGTACGGAGGTCGCTGGAAGTTCATTGCCAAGTCAATTCAAAGGCTTTTGATGTTGTATTTGCTACGCCATCAACAGGACAGCTAGTGCATGTAAGAATTAGAGATAAGTATGGTCTGCTCCTAGTAAGAAAAATGTGTCTTATTAGGAGTGAAATGTCTTCTTTCGGGCTGTTATCTTGTGAGTTAGGCTTTTTCTGTCCGTAGGACAAAAATTAACTTATTTTTTACTAAAACTTAATTATTTACACTATATCAAGTTTCTATCCTTTATTGCGTAAAAGGATTTTGGGAGAACTAACTTCGGTGTTTCGCCCCCACCCCACAAAAATACTTTGCAATATCAGTTTGCAAGTTACTGGATAACTCGAAATACATTTTCGCCAATAAGTCTGGTCTAAGCGCAAATATCAAAATTCTTAAACTTTCGACAAAGACAAATGTGAATTACATGCCAATTTTCTTTATTCTAGTCTCTCAAATGGTTTAGCAGGATGTTTAAATAGGCAGCCATATCCGGTCAAATGCCGAGGCAAAGAGAGTGTCAAGTTCTCTATAAAAATAATGAGATGTGGTATGATTGCCAATGAGACAACTATTTAACGGAGTTCATTTTATTTTTACACGTATTCGGACATAAACATTTCTTTCGAATTAAGAAAGAAGACAGCACACAAATGTGCAACAGTCCAACAATCGAGACCACATTTTCTGAAATGTCTTGTAATATTTTTTATGCCTCCGCCGTAGCGGAGGGGGCATTAAGTTTTACCCCTGTCCGTCTGTACGTCCGTACGTCCTTAAATTGGTTTCCGTTCTCTAACTTTAGTTTTTCAAAACCAAATGTTATGAAACTTATACATAATGCGTATTACCACAATACACAGATCAAGTTTGAATTTTGGTGGCGTCACTTTTACCGTTCTAGAGTTATGCCCCTTTACAAGTGGAAAAATTGCCGAATTTTTCGTTTCCGTTCTCTCACTGTAGTTTGCCTCAACCAAATGTTATGAATCTTATACCCAATGCTTATTACTACAAAACACATACCAAGTTTTAATTTTGTTGGCGTCACTTTTACCGTTCTTTACAAATTGAAAAATTGTTGAATTTTTCGTTTCCGTTCTATTACTTTAGTTTGCCTCAACCAAATGTTATGAATCTTATACACAATGCTTATTACAACAAAACACAGATCAAGTTTGAATTTTGGTGGCGTCACTTTTACCGTTCTAGAGTTATGCCCTTTACAAACGGAAAAAATGCTGAATTTTTCGTTTCCGTTCTCTCACTTTAGTTTGCCTCAACCAAATGTTATGAATCTTATACACAATGCTTATTACTACAAACAAAGATCATGCAAGTTTGAATTTTGGTGGCGTCACTTTTACCGTTCTAGAGTTATGCCCTTTACAAATGGAAAAATTGCCGAATTTTTCGTTTCCGTTCTCTCACTGTAGCTGGCCTCAACCAAATGTTATGAATCTTATACACAATGCTTATTACTACAAAACACAGATCAAGTTTGAATTTTTGTGGCGTCACTTCTACCGTTCTAGAGTTATGCCCCTTTACAAATGGAAAAATTGCCGAATTTTTCGTTTCCGTTCTCTCACTGTAGTTTGCCTCAACCAAATGTTATGAATCTTATACCCAATGCTTATTACTACAAAACACATACCAAGTTTTAATTTTGTTGGCGTCACTTTTACCGTTCTTTACAAATTGAAAAATTGTTGAATTTTTCGTTTCCGTTCTCTCACTTTAGTTTGCCTCAACCAAATGTTATGAATCTTATACACAATGCTTATTACTACAAACAAAGATCATGCAAGTTTGAATTTTGGTGGCGTCACTTTTACCGTTCTAGAGTTATGCCCTTTACAAATGGAAAAATTGCCGAATTTTTCGTTTCCGTTCTCTCACTGTAGCTGGCCTCAACCAAATGTTATGAATGTTATACACAATGCTTATTACTACAAAACACAGATCAAGTTTGAATTTTTGTGGCGTCACTTCTACCGTTCTAGAGTTATGCCCCTTTACAAATGAAAAAAAATGCTGAAATTTCGTTTCTGCCTCAACCAAATGTTATGAAACTTATACACAATGCTTATTACTACAAAACTCAGATCAAGTACAAATTTGGGTAGCGTGACTTTTACTGTTCTTGAGTTATGTCCCTTTATAACATTATATGCAAGCGGGGGCATCATCTGTGTGCTATGGAAACATTCCCCATTTATTTAAATAATGAATAGCAAAATGTAATAACGAGTAATCGTTTTTAATTGTTAAAATATTTTACTTTCCAGTTTGTCTGTGGAAAACATTTAATTGAGTGTTTTATGTATCCAGTGTGTTATTATGATATGCAAAAGTGTACTTAGTAATAATGGAATATTTATGTAATAATGGAGCAACATCTTTCATAACAATATAACTCTATTTGAAACATCACAAACATGATATTTATCAGGAAACTGAAATGACAGAATTTAGTATTGAGGAAAGGACAAGATACTTACTAAATATACGTCATTGTTTGAGACAAACAATAAGATCTTTAAATCAACAGGAAAACTAAAACAATTTGCCACATATCATGGGTTTAAATATTTAAAATCTCTTATAACAAACACTTATATTTATGTGTGTATATATATATATATATATATATATATATCTCTTATTCAGCAGCTCCCCTTTAAAAAAATCATTCAACCTAAAAAGTTAATTATATGACTTTTGTATGTTAGAATTCTGTCGACACCTCTGTTCCTAATATTAAAATAAAAAGATGTTGAAAAAACTCTCCACCAGACTACTCTTTGAAAAAAGCAACTGTAGGTCACAGTAAAAAATTAACGTGAATAGGAATGAGGGCCAAGAAAAGGTGCTGTGCCTGTCCCAAGTCAGGAGGAGCCTAATTCAGTGGTTCTTGTTTGTTGCTGTATATCATATTTGTTTTTCGTTCATTGTTTT